GTTGGCGGGCACATGGGGAAGAATCGTGGCGGCCGGCCGAGGCCGAGCGCGCCATGCAAGTCGGGGTCGGGAAGACGCGCGAGCATAAGAAAATGGCGGGGAAACGACACGAACGGACGACCGGGCGGCGCCTACGGCCGCCCGATCGGTATTCCTTTTGACACATGCTTTGCGCCACCAGCACTACAGTCCATACAAGTATGTCTGCCGTGCACTCTCTTCAGCTCGATCGTTATTTATTTTTGGACGCTGATGCATGCATGCGTACGCGATCTTCGGCCGTGATCACTTTAGCGTCGCTAAATAGAGCTAACTCAGCTACCAACTCCAATGATGAACTGCATCGGGACCAGATCCATGACATCGTTGAGCACAAACTAATTAGCGATATAATGCACCGAGTGCGATCTCTCGAGGATTGATATGATTCCAGCCCTGCCCTGTATATATAGTTGTATATATATACTCTCGTTTCCGTAAAAGTTGTGGCGCATGCGGCGCCAACGGTATGCAAATACAAAAGCGCATTCTCTCCTTCTTTTCTAATGATGATTGATGCGATCATTGCATGGCCACCTCAAAATTTGATTATGCGTAAATCAATTAAGGCTGGTCACAATGGGCAAAAACATAGTCTAGTAACTTACACACTTTCCTAGACTATGTTACTACCTTCACAGTGGGTAGGAACATCTATGTAGTGTCATGCAACAATGTATTTATTAGATTATAGACTCATTGTTTCTTGGAGTGTGTGATGTTCCGGTACCTTAGCTAGTTACCACAAGCACTTCTCTCTTCATTTAATATGTGACACATAAACAAGTATGATGTTACTCCTAAATTCCTTCCCATTGTGACCAGCCTTAAAGTGAAAGTGTCGTTTTATGATCGTTCAAGTGGGGCATGTGCCATCATCCGAAAGGTCACTAGGTGCCAAAGTGAAATCATGCCAATGATTGGCTCCCACGACTGGTTACACATATTGTTATGTACATACATACCACGACTGGAGGTCGGCGCCTCTCTGTGACGGTTGTGGACAAGTGCACTGGCCGACAGTACGAAGTTAGACCATCTACAGCCGAATATGTTAAATATAATCCCTTAAACGCCTGCCCGACGCGTCCAGACGCAATTATAGGCAGTGGTCGGGTATGTCTTAAATTTCACGAGTTACATTCGGACATTTCATATTACATTCTTAAATCCATACAAGGACATGCAAACGAAATAAATCTACGTACTATGTCGACCACCTAGCTATTTATTGTCAGAGATATCGACGATCTACATGCCCGGCTCCGGCAGCATGGGCGGCAGCTGCAGCTAGGGCTGCGAGAAAAGCTCGAGACTCATGAGCCGCTCAAGATCGACTTCTTTTTTGACTCGACTCGAGATCGACTCGAAAAGAAACGAGCTGAGTTTGAACACTTTATGTAGCTCGACCAAGAAACGAGCTGATTTTGAGCTAATGTTGGCTCGCTCGATTTTAGCTCGATAGCTCGACAGAATATTATTATGTTAAATGATCATGTCTTATATTAAATGGAAATGTGATAATTTATTACCATCTATGTTGTACATAATTTTTCTCCATTTTATTTACCAACAAACATGGAAACTTAACTAAGTGCGGAAAAGATTTAAGCCTAATTATGGCAATGTGGTCGACTATATGTTAAATAACCTATATTTTTGACAAAGGTTCCCAGCATATTCACCTTAATTTTTTAGTTTTTCATCCATAGATTCATATTTTTTACCATCTCATTTAGCTCGAAACTAGCTCGAGATCGTTACAATCTCAGCACGAGTCATGTTCCAACTCGATCATGAGCTTCACTCAGTTTGAGCTCGCTCGAATTTTCATATGAGTTGAGCTGAGCCAACTCCAACCCGCTCGAGCTCGACTCGTTTCCAGCCCTAGCTGCAGCTCTGGCTCCTCCGGCTGCTCCGTTCCGGCCTCCTCCTCCACTATCTCCGCGTCGAGTTTAGCGAAGAGCGCGTCGGATGCCGCCTGCTCCTGCTGGATGAACGTCCGGTTGGCCTCCACATAGGCCTCATTCTGGATGAACTCCAGGATGGCCTGCTGCTCCACCAGCTTGTCCAATTGGGCGACGGTGAACTCCGCCTCCGCCTGCTCCATGTTGAAGCCCGACAACTGTTGTTCCGACAGCTCCGGCTCCGGCTGCTCCGCCTCCTCCACCTCCATCGGAGCCAGCTCCTATTCCTCCGCTCCCCTCGGCTGCTCCTCCTACTGCTCCGGCTCCGGCGAGTTCGGAGGCAGCCCGACAGTAATGCGGGCGGCTCACGCGGCTTGTCTCGCCCGGATCTCCTGCCGAATCTCGTAGCGGCGCTCCGGTGTGAGCATTGCATGGTAGGTGATCTTCCTTCAAACCATGGCGGAGCGCTGGAGCGTGGGTACAGCGCTGGAGCGGAAGAGGAAGGAGGTGGATGGGCTCGGACTGACGGCACGGAGAGGGGGAGGTGGACGGGCTAGGGTTGTGGGATGCCGGCTGGGTTAAATAGGAGGATTTGGTTTCGGGCGGCGAGCCGGAGCGGCGCCACGCGACGTTCACATCGCAGCGACGTAGAAGGTGTACGTCGGACTGTCGGGTTTCTGGGCGAGTCCGCGTGGAACCCCTTCGTCAGTCCTACGTGGCGGGAGCGCCCAGGCGCCCCCCATATTCGCCTCATATTTGGACTGGATATGAGGGATGCCGGTCAGCCCGGACGTTTGAGTCCCATTTAAGGAGTCCAAGTCGCTCACGTGCACGCGTCAGCTCGACTAGTTTACGCGGGCGGGCGTCAACTAGGATTTGCCGGCAAAGACGGAGATTGAGGAATTTCCTATGCAACGCAAGTTGAGTCCAATTGTCGACGCCTCGTACCAGACGTGCGAGTGAGTGACTCGAGTGCCCCTGAAGATGGAATAAAGGTCTCCCTGTCTTTCTCCGTTTCGGTGATGCGTCTAGCATCATTAGTGGGCGTGTGGAGGCGTGTCTCTGACGGATTTGTTTTTGGTGGATATGCTCGGATCTGTTCGTCGTTCGTCTCCGTTCATGTGTTTTCAGGTTGAATCCTTTTGATCTACACTCTTCATACGCGGCGGTTGTTGTTCTGGTGCGTTGGTTCTATGGGGCCTTAGCACAATTACTTCTCGATTATCTACCACAATAAGGTTTGCCGGCTCCGGTGAGGGAGGGGCGATGACAGCGGCGCGTCTTCGGCTCGCTTCAGTGCTTGTAATCGTCGCTAGATGGTCTACGGATCTGAATGTAATTTTTAATTATTTCTAGTATTCGTTGTACTACCATGATTGAAGATGAGTAGATTGAAAGTTTTTTCCGAGAAAATGTAGAGAGGGTTTTGGGTCAAAATTTGAGAAACTTCTAGAAGGTCAAGAGACAATTTTTACCAGGTTTGAGAACACTCTTGAAGGTATTCTGAACATTTTTTCTGTTGTTTATTTTCTTCTTCTTTTTAAAAAAATTTTATATACTTTTTTAAAAATTGGATTTTCAAAATTTGTTCCTTTTTATTAAAAATATGTTCTTGTTTTTCAAATAATGTTAAAAAAATTAGTGCACATTATTCTAAAAAAGTACCAATTCCCAAAAATTATAAAAAATCAAGTTATGTTCTATTTTCAAGAAAAATGTTAAAAATTTCAAAGTTTGTTCATGATTTCCAAAAAATGTTATTAATTTCAAAAATTGTTCGGAAATTCATAAATTATCCAGATTCTCAATTTTTTTGAATGAAAGGGGGTTGCCCCCCCTGCCCCATTTTATTGAAGCAGACCACAACCAGTTCACAGACTACAAAGTTTTAGGCATTGATTTCCATACAGAGCATCTAACTCAAAAGATAAAGGCTACAGCCAACAGAACAGACCCTGTCCCGGACACAAACTTGCCAACACTGAAAGTCCCAGAGAACCAACAAGGAAACAGAAAAACGAAGAAGAGCGGGGTCCAAGTCAGATCTTCAGTCCATCATCCTCTCCAGCGTCCTGATTACTCAGTTGGTCTCCCCCGGCCTCATCTCCAAGCGATCCGGAGGAGTTTCCCACGCCGCTTGTCCAACAATAGGATGCATCGTTGCAGCAGGGTTGCTTGCCCATCGTCACAGAGAACTTTCCACTGGCGTAAATAACGGCTTAGTTTCGCAAGAATGCATTTCACACTTCTCCATTTGCGTCCCTGAAAACAAAATTCATTTCTCAGTTTCCACAAGCTCCGTAAGGTAGCAGTTGTTGTCAGATTCAAAACAGCCTTTTCTTTATGTATATGCTAGAAGGACATAACTCTTTCAAAACAAGATATGCTGTCAATATTAAAAATTTCTGCAACAAGCTTCCAAACTTGCTGGGCCACCACACAGTCAAACGGCAGGTGTTGAATGGTTTCAGGCTCAGAGCAAAATAAACAGGAAGGATCTTTCACTTCCTTTCTCTTCGCAAGATTATCTCTAGTAAGTATCTTATTATGAATACAAAGCCATAGAAAGATATGAATGTTCTGTGGACATAGGATTTTTCACATTTTTGTACTAACACTAGAAGCTACCCCATCAAAATTGATCTGTTTGTAAAAAGATTTAACTGAGAAAGTCCCACTAGGTTCTAGCCCCCAAATGGGGATGTCCACTTCATCTGAAAACAATTTTTATTCGATTTTCCCAAAACCATGTTTGAAAAGCGAGGCGAGAGAGGCTTCGTAGACTCTACAAGTAGTTTTTTTTAGGTGTTTCCGACGAGTAGTAAGTAGGCCGGGCCGAACGTCACTTACAAAGAAGTGTAAACAAGCCGGCCAGGCTTGCTTTCAGAACTTGGGCTGCATCAAGCCCGGCCCATTGTCACACACAGCGCCCCCACTACTCTCCGTCTCTCCCAGTGAGAGAGCCCGAGAGCCACACCTGAATCTCGACCTCCTCCTCCCAGCGACCAAATCTGCCGCCGCGCCGCCCGCCGGAAGGAACGAATCGAGCCCGCGATGAACACCGACATCACCGCGTCAGTGAAGCCGGAGTACCCGGTGGTGGATCGGAACCCGGCCTTCACCAAGGTCGTCGGCAACTTCTCCGCGCTCGACTACATGCGCCTCTCCACCATCTCCGCCGTCTCCGTCACCGTCGGCTACCTCTCCGGTACGCCCTCCTAGCCCCTAACCTTCTCCCCGTACGGCCATCCTCTTCCCTTCGCTACCGGAGGCTCAAATCCGCGTTCTTGGGGGTGTGCTCGCAGGGATCAAGCCGGGGATCCGCGGGCCGTCGATGGTGACGGGGGGCCTCATCGGGGTCCTGGGAGGGTTCATGTACGCCTACCAAAACTCCGCCGGACGCCTCATGGGGTTCTTCCCCAACGAATCCGAGGTCGCGCGCTACAAGTACAAGCTGTAGTGGTAGGAGGCGCCATTTCTCCTCGTCTCTCTACCGCAAATGTTACATCTTTGCTTTTATCTTTCTCTAATCTCGTGTGAGCAATGTGTGGTCTTGGTGTAATAAATGGGGTGCCTTGCTGCACAGTAGTGAGGAATTCATGCTATGATTTTACTCGTTTTGTTATGACCTGGTCATAATTTGGTCGCCATTTTGGTAAACTTATGGAATGGGGAACTTTTGTATTATGAAATGGCTTATAGTGTCTCTAGATTAAGTAGTGTGATTTTCTTTTACCTCACACTGGCTAGCTGTGGCGTAAGTCTGTCCAAAGAGGTTTCTAGAGAAATTTCTTTATCGAGAGTTACCTGGTGCTAAGCTGTTATGGCCTAGATGTGGTGTGAATATTGGTGCACATGCATCTCTAGAGAATCTGGGAAAATGAAGTTAGATTGCAGGTTTAGGCAGCACTTGAACACACATATTCATGAATGCTTACAGCCCCAGGGAATAAATAAGTTTTGCTGGCTGTTAACTTGATCCACATAATGAGTTGATAATAATTGTACTCCCTTCATTCATATTTTTTTGTTGCATAAAAAATGATGTCATTTGATTCGTATTCCAAATACACCCTCTGTTCCTGAATATAAGACGTTTTGGCGGTTACTCCCTCCGTCCCACAATATAAGATGTTTAGAGAGTAACTGCCAAAACATCTTACATTAGTGAGCATAGGTAGTACTTATTTGTGGTTATGCTTTTCTATCACAAAAGTTACATACTAAAGTGTTATTCAAAGACTTGTCCTAATGAAACCTAATATGCAAGGTATTTTGGAACAGAGGTAGTATTTGGCAAGTGTGCATCTATACATTTTGAATTAATATGAAATAAAGTTGATTATTCATCTTACTTCCATTCATCATTGTGCTTGGTTGGATACGCAATGCTTGAAGATATCATAGGAATGAATATATCTGATTATTTGTAGAAAATATGCTAAACTCATACTCCCTCTGTCCCAAAATAAGTGTCTCAACTTTATACTAACTTTAGTACAAAGTTGTACTAAGCTTGAGACACTTATTTTGGGACGGAGGGAGTATTAAAATGGATACTGCTGTGAAATAGGGAATCCTATTGCTAAAATGGAAAAAAAAATTGGGCAACTAGTAGGAGCTCTGCCTTTTAATTAAGTAGAAGAAGAATTCACCAGTTAAAAGAAAAACTGGCTTCTCTCATTTAGGGATTGTGATTTTGTCTACCTGTAGTGGTAACTATGTTGGTCAGGCTGGCTTGTTGAGGTGAAAGTTCGTCAAAGATTGTCTGGATGATTCTTTTATATTTTTGTGGGGAATTACCTGGTATTACATTACGGTCCATATGTTAGTTGCAATTTGTCAGTTTAGTGCATATGTATCTCAAAAGAATCTTGGAAAGGGAGATACATGGCTGGTTTTAAGGAGCGCCTGATCACATAGGAAGTCCATTGATACTTACTAACCTCGGAAATTGATAAGTTATGGTGCTAAAAAAATCTGATCTGGCTGACAATAGTTGTATCAACGAGTGCACTTCCGTACATTTAGTTGGTATCAAATAGAGTGGTCATTCTCGATCTTATTCACCTTCATCGCCTGAAACTCAATTGGAATCCAGTAATAAATTTGAAATTCCTGGCCACTTGATATTATTCAACACAATCACTTGTTGCTTGGTCGGAATCCACTAAAAACATTAAAAGTACAGGTCACTGCATTGGGTGAGATTTTGGTCAACTTATCTATTTGAGTAGGAATGGATGATCCTAATGTAAAATTTGGAAGTTGTGTTAAAATGGATTTTAGCCTGGTTTTTGCGGTACATAGCTTTATAGTCAAGATGTGGCCATGTGGGTGGTGCACCTAAAAGGAACCTAGTGAAATGAAGACATATCTTAAGGTTTAACGAGCACTGGAGCACGCAGAAAGTTCATCGATGCTTACTAACCTAGGAAACAACTTGAGCCACCTGGTGATAATGCTATTGTCAAGTGTGGTGTGTACATTTTTTGTTAATACGAAATACAGTTGATTATTCTCTTGGATGTTCCCCTCGAGCAATGTTTTTGGAAGCTGATCAGCTGTTTTGCAGATATAAGAATGATCTGCAATTATAGTATTTAAGAATATATTTGATGAATAGTGTAATTAATCACTTGTTGTCAACCATTTTCTAGTATAATTTTTTCAGGGATAGTTCGATATCACATACTCCCTCCAGTTCTTTTTAGTTCGCATATAAAATTTGTCTGAAGTCAAACATTGTAAACTTTGACCAAGTTTATAGAAAAAAATACCAACATTCAGAATGTGAAATCAACAACATTAGATGCGTCATAACTTTAGCTTTCATATTGTATAAATTTAGCATTGTAGATGTTAATATTTTTTCATATAAATATGGTCAAACTTTACGAAGTTTGACTTCAGACAATCCTTATATGCAGAGTAAAAAAGACCGGTGGGAGTACCAAGTTGCAGTTTTATCGAAATATATATTGTGGGAGTGGTTTCATTCATGTTTGGTCTAATGCTTGCTCTGCCCTGCAAGGGAAACTAGACACACTGAGAAGTGATGTTGGAACTTGCAACAGCCTGAACTCACGGGTAGGCTGTGCAACGTCTAAAAGATATAACCATGATTTGCGATGAGTATGGGTTTCGCCGTACGGTCATATGTGATGTCCATCTGGGAACACAGTAAGATCTAAGATGCCCATTCTTGCAAAAGAAACAGTTTGTTGTAGATTATGTTTGAGAGAAGTGCATATTACACCCCTCAACTCTAGCCCTAGTCTAATATACATCCCCCAACTCCAATACCATCTATTTTACACCCCCCAACTCTCAAAACCAGGCGGAATTCAACCCTCCCCTCCCCGTTGACCGGTTTTGACACGTTGACTGGGTGAACAGCAACAAAAAATCAAAAAATATTTTGGTTTTTCCAATGAGTGAACAGTAAATTCAAAAAAAAAGTTGGAAATAAAATTCAACAAGCAGTTTCGATTTTTTACCTGGTGAATAGTAAATTCCAAAAATACTTTTTTCCAAAAAAACCGAATTATTTTTGCGTGGACGATTTTTCAGCGCGTGATGTATGTGACAATTTTCAGCTTGTTTGGACATTTCAGTGGTCTCTCAACAAAAAAAATATATCAGCCCGAACTGTTAACTGTTTCATGCAAATATAATTTAGAAAAAAAAGTCCCTTAATTTTTTCCTGAAATTTACTGTTCACCCGGACAAAAAATCAACATTTTAAAAAATCAAAATTATTTTTAATTATTTATTTAGAACTTTTTAAAATTTTACTGTTCAGCCGGTGAAAAAACGTAATTTTTTTAAAATATATTTCTTTTGAATTTACTGTTCACCCAGTCAACAGGTCAAAACCGGTCACCGGGGAGGGAAGGGTTGAATTCCGCCTGGTTTTGAGAGTTGGGGGGTGTAAACTAGATGGTATTGGAGTTGGGGGTTGTATATTAGACTAGGGCTAGAGTTGAGGGGTGTAATATGCTATTGTTGGTGACTTGGCGTTTGATGCTATTCCTTTCTGCGGTGTGCATGCATTTGCTTATTATCGTGGAGAACTGACCTTACATTAGCCATGTGAGTATTCATGTTTCATGCTCTTAGTATTCATATTTATTGCTCTTGAGATAATATCAGACCATATATTCGTTTCAAGTTCATATGAGATTCATCCACTGGAAGATCAGCTTGAGATTACTAAGTCGTTTATGCATATGCAGTAATTGCAATGACCTTTCGGTTTATTTACCTTCCTGTGAATTCAGTCGCTAGGGATTGTATGGCTGGATGTGAAATAAACAAAACTTTGAGATTGTTTCATCTCGGTTGCTTAGTTCCCACCTGATCTACATTGGTTTTGCACTTCTTTATCCTTGTGTCTATGTTTTCACTGACAAAAAAAATTTAGTTAGTCAAATGCAGTTATAGTAGTAGGCAAAAACTGCGGCATCATATCCCAGGGAAACACTTGGGTAAATAATGAGTATCACTAATTGATTGTTTCTGCATTGTTCAGTTGCTCTTACCAAGCCCTAGAATACGTAAACAAAATCCAGCTCTACCACGCCTGATGGAAAGCCACCAGGTGAGGATTCTCAATATTCAACGGGGAAGAACCACGTCGGAAACCGCGGGCTATCCCACGGCAGGGGCACCGGCGCCGATGACTCCGGCAGCAACGGCGTGATAGTTTTACGTCTCATGTCGAACACGCCGGAGTCCCCGAGCGAGCCATCACCGGGCTTCCTCCCAAGGTACTGGCGTCGCAGGAAGTAGACACAATCTTCTCGAGCTCCGTCACCGGCGGGGACAGACTTGGAGCACCGTGCGCACACGAAGATCGCCCGGCCACCCAGGCCGTCGACCTTCTTCCACCGGCCAACGCGCGGCCTGCCGTCTCCCAGCTCCGCCTCGAACACGTCCAGCCGCTGCGTCCGCTCCATGCGCCTGTAACCACCCGGCCCGTCCGCGGCCGATCTCACGCACCGCCTCGCCATGCTCTCCAGCGCGTCCCATCTCACCCATCGCCTCACCATCAGCAGCCCGCCGTCGGACTCGACGAGGTACAGCCGGGCCACGCTGTCGGGAAATCTTTTCTGAATCCTGTAGCGTATGTAACGAGAACTGTCGTGGGAGTCGTGTGCCCGACTGGCTTCTATCAGCGGGACGCCGCCTACCACGTCGGGCCTGGCTCCTGCCGGGGTCGGCTTCTGGAGGCGGCCGTTGCCGAGCTCGAAGCCGAGGAGCTCCTCGTTGTGGGAGAGGCCGTAGATCTTCCCTTGAAACAGAGCGATGCAGGGGCGGAGCCAGAAAATTTAGCCACTGGGTTCACTCATTGACTCATTAGAATTTGGTTCAAAAAATTAACGTGAAGGCCAATTTTCAACGGTCTTACGACACCCAAAATAACATAAAAATAGAATTATGAAATTACTTGTCCCACTTTTTTTACATTAAAAACCGAAGAGTGCAAGACACATACCGGTTGGATGAAATTAGAAAACCACTTGTTTAGATATTACTCATTCCAAAGTATAAATGAAGGAGGAGCAAAATTAATTCATAGCTCGGGTATAGCTTCTCAATTTCCTGAAGGCATTGGAAAAAGAAGAAGTTAGTTTGATAAGCTTAAAATAAGTATTATTGATAGAAAAAAGATTGATGCTCGTATAGTGTCCCCCCTTTTAATTTCTCAGCATATTGACAAGATCAAATATTGCATCATTACTAATGGTAGAAAACATATCTTTCTTCATATGGCAAATCAGACAATCAGTTATCGACTCATCACCCATTTTATTGTGTAACTTTTTCTTGACAACATTAAGTCTCCATCGAGTATCTTCAAATTTCTCTCCGTCGATAACAAAAAATTAGACAATCGCCTCTAAGGTCCCTTCGCAAAATATATGTGCATAATCCCATTTTCCTTCTTAGGATTTCTCATGTGCATTGAAATTCTGTTCCGATCAGACTTATCATAAGGCAACTGACCTAAATTAATTTCTCTAATTCTTTGGAAGATTTACTTGCAATGACATTTGACACACTTTGTCTACGTCTAGTGGGAGACCTGGACTTGCCTGCACCATATTGTCTAGATGTGGTCATTGATTTCTCTCTCAAGAATATCGTTCCGAATCTAGATCAATCGAAATCCATGAAAGAGCAATAAGCATACTAGGGCATAATAATTGGCATGCCAGAGTATTATGTTAGACAGAGCACAAAAGAGAGGAAGATGTAGTGATCTGATCTCACGGGTCAGTACCTTAAATTTGGAATTTAATAGATGGCTTGCCGCCGTTATCTACTTGCTTCAGGGTTCGACGACGGAGGTATGGGCGAACAATGGAGACGAGAGAATTTCTTTTCACCCGCAAAAAAAAATGGAGACGAGAGAAGAGAGGCTAGATGTGAATTCGGGAACCGAAGGCGTGGCGGCTGCTGCGTGGGAAACGTACGAGTACAATTCAGCATGGAGAGACCTGCGTAATGGGGCACCCTGACCAAGGCAATTTGCTTATGGGCCTTTTCGGCCTTGTTCGGCCTTTTTGATGGGGTCAGCCTAATTATTTTATTGGGTTCAGGCCTAATAAGGCCTACCTATACATACGTAACCAGCAGCTTTTGTTGGGTTCAACTGCACCCAACGCTACAATGGTAGCTCCGCCGCTGGAGCGATGTCGATGATGGAGAACTCGCTCAGCACCAGGCAGGAGTTGACCTCGCAGCCCGGGCGGCGGGTCGAGACGACGACCCTGCAGTCGCTGGTGAGGACGGCGATCACGGGGAGCGCCGCCGAGGGCGCGGAGACCACCACCTTCTCGACGCCCGTCCTGTACTTCCCGTCGTGGGGGTCGACCTTGTAGTACCGCAGGAGGGCGGCGAGCTCGGGCTGCGGGGTCATGGCGCCGGAGAAGGCGTCCATCAGGGAGCACCGGCCGTCGTCGTGCATGACGAAGAGCATGTTCTCGCCGGCGCTGTAGCAGCCGGCGGCGTCGTCCGGCAGGCGCACGCGGTGCGCCGTGTTGTTGGCCGCGTCCAGCAGGGTGCCGTCGCCGAAGAGGATCCAGGGGAGCTGCACGGGGGGCGGCGGCTGATGCCTGGCGCTCGAGCGCCACGCGCGGCAGACGGCGCGGAGGCGGACGCGGTCGGCGAGGGACGGGAGGCGGTGGAGGACGACGCCGAGGAGATCCGGCGGCAGGTCCGGCCACCCGGATCGGCTCTGGCTTTTGGGAGGCGCCATATGATATGGTCTGATGTCCTGATAGGTATGGTATAAGCACGATATGCTTATGTAGGATTGTGAATCCTAGACGGAGGAGTCGGGATTGGGACTCGGCTGGGCGTCTCTCGGATAATGGATCCGACGAACTCAGTCCACCGAGAACTCGCCGCATCCAACGACGCCGAGTAGTTTCCGAGCACAACGACGAAGGCGAAGAAGCAAGGGGTAGGTACTATATATATGCTACAACTACAGAAAACTAGCGTATACATAACGGTGACTTCCCTCAAAAAAATATTAATAACGGTGACTGCATCTAAAACTAGCACGAGATGGCACCAGGAAGCCGTGTTTACTTCCAGCAACCAAAGTCAATTGCGGGAGCTCTTTTTTTTTTTAACATCAGTACAGACACAAGCGCTCATATACACGCACATACACTCATCCTTATGAACGCACATACGCACACCCTATCCCTATAAGCACCTTCGCAAGACTGAGCTGGCATATCATCTTGAGATTTACGAAATCGCCGTAGGCGCCTCGTCATCTACTGAAACGTCTCCTCCCACTAAATGTGCATCGCCGGAAATCTTGAAATAAATCCATGAACAAATGCGAGCACCGGGATTTGAACCCTGGTGGGCTGAGGATACCATAGTCTCTCTAACCATCCAATCATAGATTGGTTCGCAATTGCGGGAGCTCCTATTGGATGGTGATTGCGTGGAATAACAGTATTTTTAGGGGTACGTGGAATAGTAGTTCTTTTTCAAGGGTACATGGATTTTTTTAGGGGTAGGGGGTATATTTTTAGAAGTTTGTCGATTTCTAAAAAATCCCTGCAAACGAAAAAAGCTCATAGATTTAAAAAATGTCTTGAATTTGTAAAATGTTTGTGCAGTATTTAGGAACAGGGAGAGTATTATTTTCATGAATTCTAAAAATATGCATTTTCTTTAAAAATAAGATTTAAAAGAATTGTGAATTAAAAAAATGTTAATAGCTTTGAAAAAATTCGCAAATTTTAAAAGGTTCATCAATCTGAAAAATGTTCATAAATATGAAAAAAAAATCATGAATTGAAAAAGTGTTCACCAAATTTAAAACTCGTGAATTTAAAAATGCTGACAACTTTAAAATTTTGTTCGTGAATTGTCAAAAACGTTCAAGAATTTGAAAAATAATGTTTGCGATTATGACAAAATGTTCATGAAGTCTAAAAGTGTTCACAAATTTGAAAAAAATGTTTGCGATTATGAGGAAATGTCCATGAAGACCCCACCCACCCACCCACCCACCCAAGGTAAATCCAAAAAAAACAAGGAAAAACAAAAAAAAAAACAGCTTGAATGTTCTACAAGGTTCCTAAATCACGTGAAGTCCCTAAGAAAAGGAAAAAAATGGGGTACATGCACCGTCCCATTCAGTGGCGGAGGAGTCCAGTGGGCAGGGTATGGCGGCTGCCATATCTTAATTTTTGAGCAAAAATAATCTATACCTATGCGTCAATCGGCTCGGCTGTCTCTCGTTTCGTTTGCCCGCTGGCAAAAAACGCTAAAAAGAGAAAGCGGGTGGCCGCTAGACTGATGGGCCAGGTGGTCAGTTTCCATTGAGCGTGGCAGGCACGGAGCAGAGACGCACATGAACTCCGCACGAGAGGCACAAAACAAAGCCAAGCTGCTAGTGCGACGGCGGCGGCTGGCCGTTGAAAACTTTATTACATTTATCTATATACAAGTATATGTTTTAGGTAGTTTTTCAATACCCAAAATAAGTGACTGACATGAAGAAAAGTTTCCTCAACGCAGCCGGCCGAAGGGGGCGTCGTTGCATTGCCGCGCCTCCTCTATCTCCCATCGGCCATAGGGGAAGAGATGTGTGCGGTTGGTGGGTGGATGGGTAGGCTAGGAGGAGGAAAAAGGAGGAGAAAGAGGCGGGATGCGTTGATGGGTGTGCCAGGCTGGACACTGACGGACATCTGGTCTGTGTCCGTCCCAATTCTAACAGAAACTTAGAGCGAAAATGAGTCAAAAAAGACGACATGCAAACGGAATGGGTCTATATGTTAGGCCGTGTTTTTTGTCCGTACCGCAAACGAACGAAAATGGGTTGGTTCATGCGTTGGAGTGGACGAAGGCCCGTACAAAGCAGGGAAAACCAGTTGGACGGGCCTGCTAAATAACACGACGGCCCCCAATTCCCTCCAAAGAAAAAAACCAGTTGCCCCCAATTACCTCAAAAGAAAAAAACAGTTGCCCCCAAAGGGTCACAGGGCACGCGAGGAGAGGGAAGGTGTACTCTGTCCACGATCGCAGACCCCAGCCCCTCAATCCACAGCCGCCGGGACCTCCGCCCCTGAACGCGACAACCGCGGTGTCGGCTATGCTCCGATCTGCCGCCGGATTCGCGCTCCGGCGCCAGGCGCCGGCCCCTCGTTTCTCCAGCCACGGCGGCGGCAGCAGCCCTGGATGCAGCTGCACCACCAGGGTAGGTACCTCTACTTTGCCCATGTGGATTTTCTAGGCAGGTGGGTGTGCAGGTTGGATTAGGTTGCGAGATTAAGATTTCCAGTGTAATTTACGGATCCGTCGAATCAAATTGCTATTATATTTTTTGTTTGTAAGATGGCACAGTTTCCTGTATGGCAACGAACCTCCAGATCATCAATTCTGAAAACCAGGATTTTGGGTGACCGAGTGGCATGGAAAAATTGCTGATTGGGGTGGTGGTGGTGGTTGTATTCCTGTACAGTAGTGTAGTGTCTATTGCATTTTCGTGTTGGATTGTCTGCATTCTGCAGACTGAGTTTACAAGCTGTTAAGCTGCAGCGCTCAAGAATTTTTTTACGTTTGCTTTGCGTGTCATGGGTCTCCCAGGGCTTGTGGTCACTGTAAAATATGGTCTATGCCGCTCCATTTAGCCTCTGAAATAAGCTGAGCATTCAAGCGCGTTTGGCTATATATGGTCTTTTGCTCTACTATATTGTACTAGTAGTTTTCAGCTTGTTTGGCGCTGAATCAAATAAAACAAGTTTAATGATTAATTCAGCTACTCTGGTTTACAGCGGATGTACTCTGGTGGCATGAATGAATCCAAGAGCACGATGGCTGATGACATCAAGAGAACAATCGCCTCGTTTTGTGAAAAAACCGGCTGGTACATAAAGCATCCTTGTTTCTTGTTAAATGCAATACAGTGTCTTGTTATCTGAGCTGGGACAACAATTCGTAGAGATCCTGGCTAGAAAGTCTTGGGTATTGAGAATCCTGGGCCCTTTTCTCGGTTTCTATTCATGGTTTCGTGGTGGGAAGTAGTTTTTTTCTTCCTTTTTATGATTCTTATTTTGTGAAATGTAACGAAGACGGCAGGGGAAAACTCATTTGTGCCAAATGATCATTGTAGAACAGTTAACCAATTATATGAAAGTTGTAGAGAATAGAGAGGGGTTCATGAATACAAGGGTGAAGAACAGAGCAATTACACTGTAGAGCCAATATTTCTGTTCCCTTATCTCCTATATTGCTTCCATCAGTATATATTTTGTTCATAGTTGTACAGATGGTGCAATGCCTTGCCATCAGTATATCTTTTCTTGGCTCTATAGAACCCCAACTACATTGCAAAATATTTATTTACTAGCATAACAGCCGTGCTTTGCTATGGAACCACACAAATGATTCAGTTGCGTTGGATTAGTAGCATATAATAAGCAATGCACGTGCAACACCGCAGAGGAGAAACTTAATTAAGCAGCCAACATTGCACCTGCGTAACTGTGGCAGTGATGAGAGCACCATTGCAAGATATGATTTTCTTTCTCTTCGAATTGGATGGTTCTCATGGATTTAGATGGATGAGGGAGATCGGGGTTATCTTCACTAGTAAAGATATTTTGGTCATTCTTTATTAGTGTATTTTATGTTTTAGTTATCTTCAACAACAACAACAACAAAGCCTTTAGTCCCAAACAAGTTGGGGTAGGCTAGAGGTGAAACCCATAAGATCTCGCAACCAACTCATGGCTCTGGCACATGGATAGCAAGCTTCCACGCACCCCTGTCCATAGCTAGCTCTTTGGTGATACTCCAATCCTTCAGGTCTCTCTTAACGGACTCCTCCCATGTCAAATTCGGTCTACCCCGCCCTCTCTTGACATTCTCCGCACGCTTTAGCCGTCCACTATGCACCGGAGCTTCTGGAGGCCTGCGCTGAATATGCCCAAACCATCTCAGACGATGTTGGACAAGCTTCTCTTCAATTGGTGCTACCCCAACTCTATCTCGTATATCATCATTCCGGACTCGATCCTTCCTCGTGTGGCCACACATCCATCTCAACATACGCATCTCCGCCACACCTAACTGTTGAACATGTCGCCTTTTAGTCGGCCAACACTCAGCGCCATACAACGTTGCGGGTCGAACCGCCATCCTGTAGAATTTGCCTTTTAGCTTTTGTGGCACTCTCTTGTCACAGAGAATGCCAGAAGCTTGGCGCCACTTCATCCATCCGGCTTTGATTTGATGGTTCACATCTTCATCAATACCCCCATCCTCCTGCAGCATTGACCCCAAATACCGAAAGGTGTCCTTCTGAGGTACCACCTGGCCATCAAGGCTAACCTCCTCCTCACACCTAGTAGTACTGAAACCGCACATCATGTACTCGGTTTTAGTTCTACTAAGCCTAAACCCTTTCGATTCCAAGGTTTGTCTCCATAACTCTAACTTCCTATTTACCCCCGTCCGACTATCGTCAACTAGCACCACATCATCCGCAAAGAGCATACACCATGGGATATCTCCTTGTATATCCCTTGTGACCTCATCCATCACCAATGCAAAAAGATAAGGGCTCAAAGCTGACCCCTGATGCAGTCCTATCTTAATCAGGAAGTCATCAGTGTCGACATCACTTGTTCGAACACTTGTCACAACATTATCGTACATGTCCTTGATGAGGGTAATGTACTTTGCTGGGACTTTATGTTTCTCCAAGGCCCACCACATGACATT